ATGAGGGTAGGGTTAGACCAAATATGAGGAAGAGATCTTTTACAGTGAGGGTGGTAAAACACTGGCACAAATTTCCTGGAGAGGTGGTAGATGCCCCATCCCTGAAAACATTCAAGGTGAGGTTGGACGGGACTCCAAGCAACCTGATCTAGAAGATGATGTCCCTGCTCATTGCAGGGCTGTTGGACTAGATGACTTTTAAAGGTCCCTTCCAACCCAAACTGTTCGATGTGTGCTCTTCCCTGGTGTTGAAAGTTGCATTTATTACAGCATGTTATTGAAGGTTTCTGATAGAGTCCATGCTGGAGCGTGAATGTGCATCTTCCACCCAAAGCCATGACAGCTCTTCTGAGTCATATTCTTGTTAAAAAATTCTTGGCAGGAGTTCTTGCAGGATCAACATAAAGTTCAAGAAGCATAGCCTGTCATTTCATTGACATCATCCCCAAGTTATTTTCACAGAACTATTTTTTTAAAAATACAGCTCCGTGTTTAATTGTGTCTGCTAGAATGCTACAAATAGCAAACATCATTCCTGATTTATTTGAGCACGAGGAAGGCTTTTGGATGAAGCTTGCACTTCTTTTAAACCTGTTTTAAGATAGGCAGAGTGGTTCAGTTTTGAGAAATCTCATCAGACAGCACCTACTACTTTGTTGTTGTCACACTTACATTTTAAAATACATGCATCATTTGGATTGTTTTCTGTATCCGAGTGGGATTCTTACAGGTGTCTTGTCTTAACTGTGCATGCTTGGATGGAAGAGAAGAACAGTTATGAGAGTTATGTAGAGGAGTGACAGATTCTCAGAGGTGGTGGAGTTGGCATGAAAGCACAAGAACGGTTGCACTAGGTCAGACCAAAAGTCAAGTATTTTATCATTCTGTCTTTGACAGTGAGTAAAAGCAGATGATAAAAAGAATAACTTAAAAATCAAGTGTATAGCAATATTTCTCTAAAATACAGGAGCTGCCTTAGCTGCAGCTGATGTCTTTATTTTTAAAATCTGTTTGTTGTTTTTTTTTTCTATGAGCTTATGGAGCTGTGTCTTGAATCCACAAAATCTTAGCCCTTGCAGTGGTCTCTGGCAGGGTCTTTGGTAGCACAAGGCCACATCAGGTGAAGAGCTACCTCTCACCTATTTTGAATGTGTCCTGTTAATCTGATTTGATGCCTGATACTTTTTGTGTCGGAAGAGATACCGAACTGTTGGTTCCTATTCAGGTCTCTTTAAGATGCACCACTACTGAAGTGTTGATATACTTATCTTTAGTCATTTGTTCTTTATGTTGGTGGCAGCTTACAGTGCTTTGAAGCTACTGTTATCTGCCCGGAGTACTCTGATTCTAGCCTGAAATACGTAAAACTGAAAGCTTGATCACTTCTTAAGTGGAAAATTTTTGGGGTGCAACCATATCTGTTTACCTCTTCACCTGCTGAATGAGTCAGAATTAATGAGAATTCAGATCATAGATAATCCTCACTATATGCTGGTTCTGATCATTGTTTTTACTTTCCACAGCCTTTATTTGAACGTCTCCACCACAATTTCTCAGCTGTCATTTTCACTGTACTTGATGTCTGTGTTCTCTTGTTTGTCCTCTTCATCTTTTTTGTACATTTCCTCCTTTTTTTTTTTACTGC